GAGTTACAGGTTTGGGTCATTGTGCCTCATGGGCCAGTTTGAGTGTGTAAACAATTGGTAAAAACTGTAATAGAGATATGGCTCATCTATCTTCCTGAGATAGACCTTTCCTTTTCCTCTGCTCTGCGGACAGGGAAGAGAGAGGTCAATGGCAAGTAACACATTTCCAGCCAGCTTTGCATTTCCAGTAACACTTCAGATCTCACAGTTCATTTTCACAATGTTTGTGTTGATACTGGTTTCATTGCTCCATATGTTTGTGTTAATACTGGTTTAATTGCTCCATATGTTTGTGTTAATACTGGTTTAATTGCTCCATATGTTTGTGTTAATACTGGTTTCATTGCTCCATATGTTTGTGTTAATACTGGTTTCATTGCTCTATGTGTGTGTGTTAATACTGGTTTCATTATTCCATATGTTTTGTGTCTTACCTGCTGTTTCCCCTTTTCTTTTACTGGTGAAATAAAAATATTAACTAGGAAAGGTTCATTACCTGAAGAAAAGTTGTGTGCTTGCTTCAGCTGTCTAAAAGTAAGAAGGGATGAAAGTAAATAAGTAGTATATCCTGCGAAACTAATTAATAAATATTGTCTTTTAGTAGACAGGTTTATTCAAAGCGATTTGAATGCATACCTGTATGTTCAATAGATGTGACCCGCATGGTAGCCAAACCCACCATGTTTCAACTGAGCTATCAGCACTACTCAGCACAGTTGTCATAGCAACCAAATATTGATAAATAAAACGAGTAAACTCGGTATGTAAGTTCACCATGGCACCAAGTAGAGTGAGGAATGGCACAGTGTTATCAGTGAGAGTTGATTGTCTTGGATAAGAGCAGATAGCTAGTTGTTTATGGTGTAGGACATCACATAGTCATTTCTGAATGGCACTCCAGTGTTTTATTATCAACCCTCCCAAACACAAACTCCCTCCATATCTCTAGAGGTCAAACAAGACCAAGAGGAGTCACACTCTTGGACATTCCTACTATAATGGATGGAATTCATAAGGGGTAGATACACATCACTGCTGATCCTATTGAGAAAACCTATGAATCCCACATTTCCACCCTTTCCCTAACCACTTTATGATTCAGTTATTTTAACATGACAAGTGATCCTGCGTACGCACCACTGAAATCCAGAACACCTCCCAAGGAGTGTTAATACGATGACTAAGTCCTCTAGGGAACTCCCTCTATGTCTATGGAATGACTACTACATTCTTAGAAAAAAAGGTGTTATCTAGAACCTAAAAGGGTTCCCAAAGGCTTCTTCAATTGTCCCCATAGGAGAACCCTTTTTGGTTCCAGGTAAAACTCTTTTGGTTCCAGGTAGAACCTTATTGGGTTTCAGGTAGAACCCTTTCCCGAGAGGGTTCTACATGAAACCCAAAAGAGTTCTACATGGAACCAAAAAGTGTTCTACCTGGAAACAAAAAGGGTTCTCCTATGGAGACAATTGAAGAAGCCTTTGGGAACCCTTTTTTCTATGATTTTATGGTGGCGCTGGGTGGACTGTAGAATACCGGGCATCACTACTTAATGGGAATACTGGGAGGTGTGAGAAGAGTGTGTGGAAGAGATGAGGGCCTTGACATCCTACTCAGGGCTGTGACCTCCAACTCTCTCTCCTTTGGAGGAGGATGCTTTGTTGCGCTGCCTGCTGACTAGTTTCCTGTGCTGGCTGGGTGTTATTCATTTAATTTGTTGGGAGTTTCCACGTTAAGCGCTTGTTTTTCATCCTCTCCTCTCTGTAATGGAAATACCCGTCAGCCCCTGGAGCAGCAGATATACAGTTGAAGTCTGAAGTTTACATACACCTTAGCCAAATACATTTAAACTCAGTTTTTCACAATTCCTGACATTTAATCCTAGTAAGGATCACCACTTTATTTTAAGAATGTAAAATGTCAGAATAATAGTAGAGAGAATGATTTATTTCAGCTTTTATTTCTTTCATCACATTCCCAGTGGGTCAGAAGTTTACATACACTCAATTCGTAGCCTTCCACAAGCTTCCCACAATAAGTTGGGTGAATTTTGGCCCATTCCTCCTGACAGAGCTGGTGTAACTGAGTCAGGTTTGTAGGCCTCCTTGCTCGCACACGCTTTTTCAGTTCTGCCCACATATTTTCTATAGGATTGAGGTCAGGGCTTTGTGATGGCCACTCCAATACCTTGACTCTGGCGAACACCAAACGTGTTTGCTTATTTTTTTCTTTAAGCAGTTGCTTTTTTTCTGGCCACTCTTCCGTAAAGCCCAGCTCTGTGGAGTGTACGGCTTAAAGTGGTCCTATGGACAGATACTCCAATCTCCACTGTGGGGCTTTGCAGCTCCTTCAGGGTTATCTTTGGTCTCTTTGTTGCCTCTCTGATTAATGCCCTCCTTGCCTGGTCCATGAGTTTTGGTGGGCGGCCCTCTCTTGACAGGTTTGTTGTGGTGCCATATTCTTTAAATTTTTTAATAATGGATTTAATGGTGCTCCATGGGATGTTCAAAGTTTCTGATATTTTTTTATAACCCAACCCTGATCTGTACTTCTCCACAACTTTGTCCCTGACCTGTTTGGAGAGCTCCTTGGTCTTCATGGTGCCACTTGCTTGGTGGTGCCCCTTTCTAGTGGTGTTGCAGACTCTGAGGCTTTTCAGAACAGGTGTGTATATATACTGAAATCATGTGACAGATCATGTGACACTTAGATTGCACACAGGTGGACTTTATTTAACTAATTATGTGACTTCTGAAGGTAATTGTTTGCACCAGATCTTATTTAGGGGCTTCATAGCAAAGGGGGTGAATACATGTGCACGCACCACTTTTCCGTTATTTATTTTTTAGAATATTTTGAAACAAGTAATTTTTTTAATTTCACTTCACCAATTTGGACTATTTTGTGTAGTGCGTACGGCCCAGTACATCACTAGGGCCAAGCTTCCTGCCATCCAGGACCTACAATGAGGGAAAAAAGTATTTGATCTCCTGCTGATTTTGTACGTTTGCTCACTGACAAAGAAATTATCAGTCTATAATTTTAATGGTAGGTTTATTTGAACAGTGAGAGGCAGAATAAACACAAAAAAATCCAGAAAAACGCATGTCAAAAATGTTATAAATTGATTTGCATTTTAATGAGGGAAATAAGTATTTAACCCCTCTGCAAAACATGACTTAGTACTTGGTGGCAAAACCCTTGTTGGCAATCACAGAGGTCAGACGTTTCTTGTAGTTGGCCACCAGGTTTGCACACATCTCAGGAGGGATTTTGTCCCACTCCTCTTTGCAGATCTTCTCCAAGTCATTAAGGTTTTGAGGCTGACGTTTGGCAACTCGAACCTTCAGCTCCCTCCACAGATTTTCTATGGGATTAAGGTCTGAAGACTGGCTAGGCCACTCCAGGACCTTAATGTGCTTCTTCTTGAGCCACTCCTTTGTTGCCGTGTTTTTTTGGTCATTGTCGTGCTGGAAAACCCATCCACGACCCATTTTCAATGCTCTGGCTGAGGGAAGGAGGTTCTCACCCAAGATTTGACGGTACATGGCCCCGTCCATCGTCCCTTTGATGCGGTGATGTTGTCCTGTCCCCTTAGCAGAAACCCCCCCCCCAAAGCATAATGTTTCCACCTCCATGTTTGACGGTGGGGATGGTGTTCTTGGGGTCATAGGCAGCATTCCTCCTCCTCCAAACACGGCGAGTTGAGTTGATGCCAAAGAGCTCGATTTTGGTCTCATCTGACCACAACACTTTCACCCAGTTCTCCTCTGAATCATTCAGATGTTCATTGGCAAACTTCAGACGGGCCTGTATATGTGCTTTCTTGAGCAGGGGGACCTTACGGGCGCCGCAGGATTTCAGTCCTTCACGGTGTAGTGTGTTACCAATTGTTTTCTTGGTGACTATGGTCCCAGCTGCCTTGAGATCATTGACACGATCCTCCCGTGTAGTTCTGGGCTGATTCCTCACTGTTCTCATGATCATTGCAACTCCACGAGGTGAGATCTTGCATGGAGCCCCAGGCCGAGGGAGATTGACAATTATTTTGTGTTTCTTCCATTTGCGAATAATCGCACCAACTGTCTCACCAAGCTGCTTGGCGATGGTCTTGTAGCCCATTCCAGCCTTGTGTAGGTCTACAATCTTGTCCCTGACATCCTTGGAGAGCTCTTTGGTCTTGGCCATGGTGGAGAGTTTGGAATCTGATTGATTGATTGCTTCTGTGGACAGGTGTCTTTTATACAGGTAACAAGATTAGATTAGGAGCACTCCCTTTAAGAGTGTGCTCCTAGTCTCAGCTCATTACCTGTATGAAAGACACCTGGGAGCCAGAAATCTTTCTGATTGAGATGGGGTCAAATACTTATTTCCCTCATTAAAATGCGAATCAATTTATAACATTTTTGACATGCGTTTTTCTGGATTTTTTTGTTGTTATTCTGCCTCTCACTGTTCAAATAAACCTACCATTAAAATTATAGACTGATCATTTCTTTGTCAGTGGGCAAATGTACAAAATCAGCAGGAGATCAAATAATTTTTTCCCTCACTGTACACAAAATAGTCCAAACTGGATTTTTTGTTGTTATTCTGTCTCTCACTGTTCAAATAAACCTACCATTAAAATTATAGACTGATCATTTCTTTGTCAGTGGGCAAATGTACAACATCAGCAGGGGATCAAATACTTTTTTCCCTCACTGTATGTCCATTACATGAAATCCCAATAAAAATCAATTTAAATTACAGGTTGTAGTGCAACAAAATAGGAAAAGCGCCAAGGGGGATGAATACTTTTGCAAGGCACTGTATGTAGTTTTAAGTCGCATGGTGAAACTATATTTCTACATTGTTTGATTAACCATTATTAACTGACAAGTAATAGGACCTATTTTAGGCTCTCCTCGTAGAGAGAGCTTGGCACTGTGTTTATATGAGAGAGGACCACGCCCATCCTCAGGGCCCTCCCCCTCCTCCTACGTTTAAAGTGTGTTCAGAGTGATAGCCTCAAGGAGCCCTCAGACAAAACATACCAGCCACAAGGGTTTTACACTGCCTCCTAAGATCCATATATAAACCAGCTCACTAGAGCACAGAGATATATAGAAGAATCAAGGGAAGAGTGACATTTTACTTCCGTGGACTTGGAGTCTTCAGAGTTAACAGGTTTGTTTTGCTGAGATCTGAGGACACTTGTTGGAGAAACATTTCTGAACTTGGCACCACACAGCACAGCCTTTTGAAAAAATGGCACAAAGACAGAACTCCGACAAAGACCCGACTGTTGAACTCTTCATAAAGGTCAGTATTGTGTTCATCCTTTAGTTTAAGAAAATAGTCATTTGTATTAATTCTAACACACCGTCTATTTCAACAATATGTGAAAAGATGTAAATGGTGTGATGATTGAAATACAGAAAAACGTACCTCAAAATTGCTTCATGTGAAAGCAAATGAAATGGACAAGATGTAATGTAAAGCTTCAGCCACTTCAGCCATAGCCTCTATTTCAAAGAATGGCTCAATGCTTGTAGTGTTGTGTTCGGGATGGGTAAACACTGGCATCTGAGCAAGATTTGACGTTCAATTAACAGCACTCTGAGAGGCTAGTGTGTGTGTGTGTGTGTGTGTGTGCGTGTGTGTGTGTGTGTTTGAGTGAGTGTGACAGTGAGAGTAGCCTTTATCACTGTGTAATGACGCCAGACACTGGAGGCCACCTTATCACCACACGCCCTGGAGGAGGAGGCAGCACACTGGGAACCCCTGGCCCCCCGCTGAAGCAAACACACACACACATTCACACTGACACATACATGCATGCTCTAACCACATATGCACATTCACACAACAGAAAAAAAGTCGCAAATAAGTAGATATGGATTGTATCTATGTAAAGTTATATACGTGCATAATGGTACATATTTACGCACACGCACGCACACACACACACACACACACACACACAATCCTTTTGCGTACAACAGTGAGCGAACCATCCCATTTATTTATCCATACCAGAGGTAGAGCAGCGTAGGTGGGTCTGTAATCAGACTCTGTTGTCATATCATGTGCTATAGGTGTGCACTGAGGGGAGTGGATGTCCATTTCTGTTGGGTTCCTTTCCAACTCAATGCCGGCTTTTCCTCTCAAGTAGCAGTTCCTAAAATAACCCAGCCAGTCCCAACACTACAAGTGTGTGTATTTGTGTCTTTGGTCATGACATGAGATTAATATGAATTGCATGATAGGGTTGGAGATCAGGACTTACTGTAATGGATTACATGGACAATGTCAACATCAACCTTTGGAATTTGGAAAGGGCTCCCTATCTTATGTGTGACCATGTGTCTTCTGTGTTTGAGGAGTTATCGTATATTGCTGTCTGTGAAATAAACTACCACTAAACTAGCCTGGTCCCAGATGTGTTAATATATTGTCTTGCCAACTCCTATGGTCATTGTTTGGTGTGACAATGACCCTAGGAGTTGGCAAGACAGCACAAACAGATTTGGGACCAGGCTATAACCTAAACTCAATAAATAATGCTGCTTATCTTTCAGGCTGGCCACGATGGACAGAACATGGGCAACTGCCCCTTCTGCCAGAGGCTCTTCATGGTCCTGTGGCTAAAAGGAGTCAAGTTCACCGTGACAACCGTCGACATGAGGAAGTAAGCCCCCCGCCTCCCTGGCCTCCCGCCCTTCCACTTCCTGTGCATCTGTTTAAAGGTCTCCTCACACATGGCTCTATAAAGAGTTCAGCAAGAAACCAAACTGTTTAATAGGGTAAAGTAATGGGGTGTGATACAGAGAGGTGATAGAGGGCGGAGCTTGAAAGGCTAAAGCATTTGCAGAATGGACAAAGAGCTCTGTGTAGAATTGAACAAACATCTTTTCTTAATCTATTCCCTTTCTTGTGTGAGTTTCTCAGGCACATTACCGGTGAGCAAATAAGATCAGGAAACGTTGACAGGATGCTGATAATTGAGTGATTGAGAAAACACACAACATGTACCCTTTAAGCTAGCCACTCCCATGCCAGTGTGTTTCACCAACTGAATCATAGGCATTGTTGGAATCATTAATCGAAACATGGCTTGATAACCTTTGTGTTCGTTGTGATTGTGCCGCTGAATGATTAAGCATGGTATCTATTTCTATAAAGCTGGAATGATCCCATATATGAACATGTCTACTCCCTTTCTTTCTTCCTACCCTTTGCCCACCTCTCCACCCAACCCTGCCCTGGTACACTCTAGGAAACCAGCAGAGCTGAAGGATTTGGCACCTGGGACCAACCCTCCGTTCCTCCTGTACAACGGCACCCTCAAGACAGACTTCATCAAGATCGAGGAGTTTCTGGAACAGACATTGGCCCCTCCCAGGTAAAGTATTATTATTTTAAAGAAAAAGTGAATGGCACTAACCTTCTTCAAACAAACTCATACTCCTCTCATCCTCCTCCCTTCAGGTATCCACACCTTAGCCCACTCAACAAAGAGTCCTTTGACGTGGGCGCTGACATTTTCGCGAAGTTCTCCGCTTTCATCAAGAACAGCCCAGCCAACAGTACTTGTAAGTAAAGTTTCAGTCAGTCCACATTCATGTTTTAGATTAGACCATGTCTTATAAGGCAATGGAAAATATGACAATTAAAAGTACTCAACGGAAATCCAACAATGCCCATGATTCAGTTAGTAAAACACACTGGCACTGGCGTATGCCTTAATGAAATGCTGGTTTGATGTGAATTTTAGGGCCCGGCCCAAGCTTACTCCTGGACTGAAAAGCATGCTCAATGCAGAATCTCAACTGAAAGTACTTTTTTATCCATAAGGAATACCTCCAAAGCTCCAGACCTATCTGACATACATGCCTGTGTCTCTCTAAATCCATAGTCCATGAGAAGGCGCTGCTGCGGGAGTTCAAGCGCCTGGATCTCTACCTGAACTCCCCCGTCCCTGAAGAGATTAACCACAACTCCAGAGAAAACATTCTCGTCTCCAAGAGGAAGTTCCTGGATGGCAACCATCTCACCCTGGCAGACTGCAACCTGCTGCCCAAGCTGCATGTCATCAAGGTGAGACAAATTGGCATATGACATAAACAGTTTGGAATATTAATATTTTCTGTTATTAGGCATGTCTTATGACTGTAGTACGCAACCTATGCAATGACAGGGCCCATCCTTACTTTCTAAGTATAACTCCATTTTGAACCATTGGGAATAAACATTCTCAGCCCTTATTCTCTATTCTACATTTCTTTAATAGTGTAATATGACTATTATTGTTTATAGTGTCTCACAATTCAAATGTTTTGCAATGTATTTGGATTTATGTGATAGATTGCTGCCAAGAAGTACTGTGACTTTGACATCCCGGTCCAGTTCACCGGTGTATGGAGGTACCTGAACAATGCCTACGAGAGGGAGGAGTTCAGTCAGACCTGCCCTGCCAACATCGAGATCGAGAAGGCTTACCTGGACGTAGCCAATAAGAGGCAGTAAACCTATAACCAATCTTTAGCCAACAATTACACAATCATTACACAACTATTACACAACATGTCCTCTTTTACTGTTACCATGGAAATTGTAACTCATTCACAAAACATTAAGGAATTTTGGGAGGGGCCAGCAATCATTATTGAAATATCTCAAGCCAACTGTTTAAAAATCGACATTTATAAATTCCTGCAGGAGGATGCCAATAGGCATTCTAGAAATCAAAGTTCACAAAGAGACCCCCTCCTGCTTAAAGTGCATTATGTTAATTAGGCACTATAGGGCATGCGCAAGATGAACCACAATGCCATATGTTTTACAGGCAGTGTAATAGTAAGCTGCTACAGTAACTAAGGTCTATGTATGAAGTCAAGTACCGACTATTTATTTCATGTAATTATACTGGCAAATTTCATTATATGCCACACTAAATAGGCCAAGTGTGCAATTTGACTGTTTATCTAATTTAGTGAGTTTCTTTGTCCATAGTGTAAATATATATTTCTTACATGTTGTTTATGACCTGCACACCCATACCATAAGAATACATGAGTGTATTCTAATTATGTTAATGTGTGATTGAAACTAGTGATATAAAACCTATTGTGCATGGTTACCATTACCACTCAGAATATTAAGCTCTCACCAACAAGAATACAGTCAATTAGCATGTAAATACATTTTGATATCAGGAAAATATGTTTTACCATAATAGAGTACACCTGTTCAAACTATGATGTGAAAATAAATGTCTGACCCTTGAGTGTGTGTGTATGTGTGTATGTGTGTATGTGTGTGTGTGTGTGTGTGTGTGTGTGTGTGTGTGTGTGTGTGTGTGTGTGTGTGTGTGTGTGTGTGTGTTTGCTGATCATTTCAAAGCAACCCATATACAGTATTTGCAGTCAGTGATTTATGTGGTATGATTACACAAAATATTCATTTACTGTGCATTTCTAAATTTGTCAACTAAAATATAGTTGACGTCTAATTTTAGTGTTTAATATTGTTGACTTCATTCCGCTTCCAAGCATTGGTTCGAGGCATGTACGTTATGTATTTGTATAGAAATTGATATGCAATCTTACACAGTGTTGGTCTCAAAAACAAAGTTGTTCCGTTCCATCCACATTACATATTTCATTTTATTGTCACCCAGTCTCAATGCAAGGCCATGTTCAACCGGATTAAAAAATATATTTTCATCAATCATTTAGTCTAGGGTTATAAGTATAAACATTGTCTTGGGGCTGTACGTTTAATATTTAATAAGGGATACAGCTTGGGGCGAGGGTGGCAAGATAAGGTGTTCTTGTCCAGGCATCGTCGAAACGTCTCTTATCCTCCTTCAGCGCACATCTTCTAGTTTGTCACACAGTATTTCCAGAAGCATGCTATCCAGGGAAGAAAGAGACAAAGATAGACAAATGTCAAGATTCTGTGCATCAATTCTACCTTCGTGAGTCCTATCATGTTACATCATATCCTGTTGGTATCCCGCTAGGCTATACCCACCGGGCACAGACGTTAATTCAACGTCTATTTCACGTTGGTTCAATAAACAGAATTGATTCAACCAGTGTGTGCCCAATGGGTAGTCACTCCATCTCACCTTCGACGGGACAGTCCTTAGTTAAACATCCTTACCAAACACTTTATTGCATTGTAAATATGCCAGCATAGATATGGTATTTTCTTCAGTTGTTGACGCGATACTGTGCTTTCAATTTTCCTCAGCAAACACCTGATCTTACTATGTGCATAAGGAACATAAGGAAAGGTGTTGCGACAGAGTCTGTCCAGGATAACGTTGTTTTTAATCACCTCTCTTGTTGGTTTTCGGCAAGTTCTGCTCAGAACGAAGGAAGCCCTGAGAGCGAAGCTTGTCGGCTGCAGCGAGCTTCAAAACCACCACCTTCAGATCATCAACCTAAAAAAACACAGACAGAATATATTTTATGACACATGGATCCATATAGAACCTAATAGAATATAACTGCTTTTCCCAGAGGGTTATTTTGTATCACACAGTCAATAGAAATGTCTAACACACTCTTACCATGTTGACAAATTTATCCTGCTGCACAGAATCTTTAGCTCCTGAAGGAAAATTGAGAAGATAAACCCAGTGAATATAGACCTCATCACGTTATATGGGTGACTAGCTGTTTAGAATAAAACCCATTGTCCTTTTGACTAACTCCTCTGCATATGGCAAAGAGTTATGGGATATCAGAACATTCATGTCCAATCCTTGGTATCTTGATAGTAGGTTTTGTCTCTCCTCACCTGCTTTATTCCATGTGTCCCTGGCTCCATCGCGCTGCAGCAGAAGAGGGTAGAGATTCTTCACCTCTCTCTGGTCAGTCAGCTCAGTGTTCTCTCCATCCTCCACCTCTGCCATCAACTGCTGGATTAGCTCTGCTTAGACCGAACAGCTCTCAATAATCAAACAGTATTATCTCCGTCATCAATACTGAGACCCACACCACTGCTGAAAGTTCCAGTGAACCCAATTATGTCATGTTACTCAAAACTGGTGTTAAAAGTCCAGACTCAGACTGAACTTAACTATAAAAATAGCTATTGCCTTCAATGTTCTCAGAGGAAAATCGATCCCCTTTGCCATCTACGGTAGACCTACATGGTTGTTGATAACGAACAGAGTATTTCAGAGTTCAACATTGCCCTCACAACATTATGCATAGGGATCTAAGAATGAAAACCAGATATCTAAACACTATAAATGACACCAAGAAAAGATGAGACATTGTATGTCTCATAAGGAAGGTTCAGCAAGACATGCCTAAAATAGAACATCATAGACATGGTCAGATCAAAAGAAATCAAAGACACCAGATTATCTTGCCTACCTTCTTGGGGTTCCAAGCTTGTGTCTGGATACAGTGGTAGAGCATGCGTCCGTCTGGCAGGGCAAATAACAGCTAAAATGTAGAACAGTGCTAAGGACAGCATGATGACAATAGCTTAGGTGGCTCTGGACTGCACTACCTTACCCTGACTGGGAACTTCACTTTTATATCTTACTCGACCATCCATCACGACGGGATCGATACATCATCATGTCACCCAGTCTCAGTCTTAATGGTTTTGACATGATGGGCCCATCGTCATAGACGCAATTCAGGGGACTCTGTCAATGCAACTGGGGCCTATCTCTGCTTGTTCAGAGGGCCCTACAAATGTTTGCTCTCCAATAGCAATCAGTGGCCAGTCAGCATCCTCAAATTCTTTATATCTGACTGAAACCATTTTCTTGTTCTAATGGGTTGTTCATCCTATCCCAGACAACATGGTGGAACAACATGTATCACTGTTCTGATCACAGCCCCTTTTAAGCACAGAGACTCTTTAGAAATATGTTATGGTCTCTTTGTTTCTTTTCTTTGTCTTACCCTTGTAGTCATACACTCAGAAAAAAGGGTACGGTTAGGGTACAGTATTGTTCCCTGGGGATACAAAATCACACCCATCATTAGCATATTTCCCAGCATGCTGTATTGCTGGTTGATTTTTTTTAAATAGTTTGTTTCAATATGTTTTACTTTTGCATACACATTATGTGTTTTTGCATGCACATTGATTGATTGATAGATTGATCTTATGCTACACAAAGATAAATAATATTTTTTAAATTTACTAATCCAATCTGTTAGTAATTATTGCACCCGTTACTGAGATAGTTGTTCCTGTTTAAATGGTTTAGGCAGTCAATTAATTTTCCCCACTGTGGCAGTCATGCTAAACGCAGGTTGCGGGTGATTAAAAGTTCACATTTTTGGATTTCCTCACTCTGGCTGGATTCAAACAGGAACTAATATCACTTTGCAAGCCAGCATAATGTGACTTGACCGATGTGGCCTGAAAACCAGGTGTTTCAGACCCCTGTGTTGGGATAAAACTAGGCTGTCAAAGTATGGCCTTATGATATATGTAATGTATTGTCATAAAGATTTGAATTTAAATGATAAAATATTAACTTAGGCACTTGGTGAAGGCTACATGACTGAAAGCCATTGAACGCAACAACCATGTTTCATCCCCTAAGGCAGTGGTTCCCAACCTTTTTCGGTTACTGTACCACCAACTGAATTTTACATGGCTGGAGTACCCCTGAAGTACCCACTCATCTCCATTTTATCAGTAGGCCTATGGTCTCATGAGTCTTCTCAAGTACCCCCTGTGGATAGGTCAAGTACCCCCAGGGGTCCTAGTACCCCTGGTTGGGAACCACTGCCCTAAGGTACACTATTGGCTCTTAAAGGTATGAACTGCTAGGGTACAATTATGTACCTATAACTAAAGGTACAATGGGCATACCTTACAGGATACCACTACAGTGACAAGCATTTGTACCCCTTTAAGTACAATTCTAAACCTTTTTTTCTAAGAGTGTAAGAGGCAACAGTTGTCTACATAATTTTGTGTTTAGAGACCATCATTAGGCAAGTGTCAGGGAAATCACTCACTAGGTAGGTTTTAGCCATTTCTCATTGTCCTGACATGAAGCAGCACCCAATTACTAGCAAAGATAATTGTGTGCCGTGCTTTTCTAATGTCAGTTTATATGGGAAGTATTTGAATGTTGTACAGTCGTGGTCAAAAGTTTTGAGAATGACACAAGTATTGGTCTTCACAAAGTTTGCTGCTTCAGTGTTTTTTAGATATTTTTGTCAGATGTTACTATGTTATACTGAAGCATAATTACAAGCATTCCATAAGTGTCAAAGGCTTTTATTGACAATTACATTACGTTTATGCAAAGAGTCAATATTTGCAGTGTTGACCCTTCTTTTTCAAGACCTCTGCAATCCGCCCTGGCATGCTGTCAATTAACTTCTGGGCCACATCCTGACTGATGGTAGCCCATTCTTGCTTTCACACCCTGGCTCTGGGACTCTATATGTTGAGCCAGGGTGTGTTCATTCTATGTGTTATATTTCTATGTTGGGGGTTCTAGTTGTTCTGTTTCTATGTTGGCCTGAGTGACTCCCAATCAGAGGCAACGAGTGTCAGCTGTGGCTGGTTGTCTCTGATTGGGAGCCATATTTAAACTGTCTGTTTTTCCCTTTGTGTTTGTGGGTTCTTGTTCCGTGTTGGTCTATTCCGTACGACGATCGTGACAGAAGAACCCACCATACAAGGACCAAGCAGCGTGTCCAGGAGCAGGCAGACTGGACATGGGAGGAAGCGCCGGGAAAGGAGATGGAGAGGTTGGCGATGGCCCAGGTGGGCAAAGTGTGGTCCTGGGAGGACATGCTCGGGGGAAAAGGACCATGGGCTAGGATTAAGGCCCTGGCGAGAGAGGAGCAGCGGCGTCAGCAGTGTCATCGTCGGACGGACGAGAGGCAACCCCAAAACATTTTTAGGGGGGGCACAGGGCATGGACGACGGGGCTGACGGAGGCAGAAAAGGGGCGTATTCAGAAGGCCGCCAGGTTACGGGGGCCACTGGTCAAAGTAGGGAAAGAAGGTTTAGAGGCACGGCGAGAGATACTGGGGTGTGTTACCAGTCCGGTCCGGCCCGTTCCAGATCCCGGGGTAGAGCCAGTGGTGTGTGTCCCCAGTACGGTCCGGCCTGTTACGGCCCCTCGCACCAAGTGTACGGTGCGCGTCGCCAGCCCGGCCCGGCCTGTCCCTGCCTCTCGCACCAAGCCTACGGTGCGCGTCGCCAGCCCGGCCCGGTCTGTTCCTGCCCCTCGCACCAAGCCTACGGTGTGCGTCGCCAGCCCGGTCTGGCCTGTTCCTGCCACTCGCACCAAGCCTACGGTGCGCGTCGCCAGCCCGGCCCGGCCTGTTCCTGCCACTCGCACCAAGTCTACGGTGCGCGTCGCCAGCCCGGCCCGGCCTGTTCCTGCCACTCGCACCAAGTCTACGGTGCGCGTCGCCAGCCCGGCCCGGCCTGTTCCTGCCACTCGCACCAAGTCTACGGTGCGCGTCGCCAGCCCGGCCTGGCCTGGCCTGTTCCTGTCACTCGCACCAAGTCTACGGTGCGCGTCGCCAGCCCGGCCCGGCCTGTTCCTGCCACTCGCACCAAAGCTACGGTGCGCGTCGCCAGCCCGGCCCGGCCTGTTCCTGCCACTCGCACCAAGCCAGGGTGCGAGTCATCAGCCTGGTCCAGCCTGTTCCTGCCACTCGCACCAAGCCAGGGGTGCGAGTCGTCAGCCTGGTCCAGCCCGTTCCTGCTACTCGCACCAAGCCAGGGGTGCGAGTCGTCAGCCTGGTAAAGCCCGTTGCTGCTCCACGCACCAAGCCAGGGGTGCGAGTCGTCAGCCCGGTAAAGCCCGTTCCGGCTCCACGCACCAAGCCAGGGGTGCGCATCGTCAGCCCGGTCCGGCCCGTTGCTGCTCCACGCACCAAGCCAGGGGTGCGAGTCGTCAGTCCGGTGAGGCCCGTTCCGGCTCCACGCACCAAGCCAGGGGTACGCATCGTCAGCCCGGTCCGGCCCGTTGCTGCTCCACGCACCAAGCCAGGGGTGCGAGTCGTCAGCCTGGTAAGGCCCATTCCTGTTCTACGCACCAAGCCAGGGGTGCGTATCGTCAGCCCGGTCCGGCCCGTTGCTGCTCCACGCACCAAGCCAGGGGTGCGTATCGTCAGCCCGGTGCGGTCCATTCCTGCTCCACGCACCAAGCCAGGGGTGCGTATCGTCAGCCCGGTCCGGCCTGTTGCTGCTCCACGCACTAAGCCAGGGGTGCGCATCGTCAGTCCGGCACAACCCGTGCCTGGTTCACCGGTGCCTAATGAGGTACCGGTCAACTGCTCCACAACGGAGCTGAAGCTAACCGCTCCTGCTACGTCCAGTTCAGCTCCAGCCAGCGGGGCCAGACCGGACCAGGGGCGCTATGGGGGGATTATTGGAGGGTGGTGGGCAAGCCCGGAGCCAGAACCGCCGCCGAGGAGGAATGCCCACCCAGCCCTCCCCTGTTTTGTTCTAGTGGAGGCGCGGTCGCCACTAGAACATGTGTTATATTTCTATGTTGGGGGTTCTAGTTGTTCTGTTTCTATGTTGGCCTGAGTGACTCCCAATCAGAGGCAACGAATGTCAGCTGTGGCTGGTTGTCTCTGATTGGGAGCCATATTTAAACTGTCTGTTTTTCCCTTTGTGTTTGTGGGTTCTTGTTCCGTGTTGGTCTATGTTACCTAGGACGTTACGAGTCGTTTGTTGTTTTTGTTTACTGTCCGTGTTTATCGCTAATGATAAATAAACATGTTCGTTCATCACGCTGCGCCTTGGTCCTCCTCTCTTAACGACGATCGTGACACTTGCATAATCAATGCTTGGAGTTTGTCAGAATTTGTGGGTTTTTGTTTGTCCGCCTCTTGAGGATTGACCACAAGTTCTCAATGGGATTAAGGTCTGGGGAGTTTCCTGGCCATGGACCCAAAATGTCAATGTTTTGTTCCCCGAGCCACTTAGTTATCACTTTTGCCTTATGGCAAGGTGCTCCATCATGCTGGAAAAGGCATTGTTCATCACCAAACTGTTCTTGGATGGTTGGGAAAAGTTGCTCTCGGAGGATGTGTTGGTACCATTCTTTATTCATGGCTGTGTTCTTAGGCAAAATTGTGAGTGAGCCCACTCTCTTGGCTGAGAAGCAACCCCACACATGAATGGTCTCAGGATGCTTTACTGTTGGCATGACACAGGACTGATGGTAGCGCTCACCTTGTCTTCTTCGGACAAGCTTTTTTCCGGATGCCCCAAACAATCGGAAAGGGGATTCATCAAAGAAAATGACTTTACCCCAGTCCTCAGCAGTCCAATCCCTATACCTTTTGCAGAATATCAGTCTACCCCTGATGTTTTTCCTGGAGAGAAGTGGCTTCCTCACTGCCCTTCTTGACACCAGGCCATCCTCCAAAAGTCTTCGCCTCACTGTGCGTGCAGATGCACTCACACCTGCCTGCTGCCATTCCTGAGCAACTCTGCACTGGTGGTACCCCGATCCCACAGCT